CATCTCAAATCTGAAGAACTGAGGAAGAAGAATCATTAACAATCTAAAGTAACTGCCTAGTGTCTCAAGTAGAAGGGCATGAAGAGGAGCTGGCAGGAATGTTTCCAGATAATGACAAGTTTACAGGCTTACTCATGAGGCTAACTAGAATCCAAGGAGCCAACCCTGGCCCTGTCCTCATGGAGAAGGCCTACACAGGATTCCAGGATACAGATGAACACATCGTTTTCGGTGTGTAGACACAGTCATCCTTCCAACTCCTGAGTTCTGGCCCTGGGCCTGGGCCATTCCTATTCACTTTGAGGGACCGCTGTGGGCCTCTCTACCCGGGAGTTACATGCAGGATCCTTGGGTGCCCAGATGGGGGCTTTAAAACATGAGCCCTCCATGGTCAGGTCCATAACCTGTTTCCTGCCTTTTTCTCAGCAGCCCCCAGACCCATGAAACAGTGGTCTTCACCTTCTGATTCTGATCTAGATCTTGAACTTAGAAACAGTTAGAACCTGGCTCCAAATTCTGTCTGAAAGAAGCAGAATAGGCTGGGCTCATGCCTGTAATTCCAGCCCTTTCAGAGGCCAAAGCAGGAGGATTGCTTGATCCCAGGAGTTTAAGACCAGCCCAAGCAACATAGTGAGACACCATCTCTATTTAAAAAAAAAAAAAATTAGCCGGGTGCAGTGGCTCACGCCTGTAAACCCAGGCTGAGGTGGGTGGATCACGAGATCAGGAGTTCGAGACCAGCCTGGCCAACATAGTGAAAACCTGAAAACCCATCTCTACTAAAAATACAAAAATTAGCCAGGCACGGTGGCGCACACCTGTGGTGCCAGCTACTTGGGAGGCTGAGGCAGAAGAATCACTTGAACGTGGGAGGCGGAGGTTGTGGTGAGCCGAGATCATACCACTGCACTCCAGCCTGGGCAACAGAGCGAGACTTCACCTAAAAAAATAAAATAAAAAAAATAAAAAAATAAAAAAAAACTGCCATTCGTTGACACAGCTGGCAGTGTTCTGCATGCAAAAGTTTCTCATTTTCACCTGGAAAGCAGGTTAGTACAGAGTCACCCTCACTGTCTAAGTGTTTACTACTCCCATCAGCTGGTGTTGGAAGAACCCGGACGGCTCTCAAGCAGAGGATATACCCAGGACTGAGCCCCTTCATCGGCTAAACTGAGATACTCAGCATCTCAGTTCTTAGAATACCTACCTGTATTCTGTGATGCAACTGTTGAAATTTCTCTTTTACTTTAGTGTTCAGTTCAGTAAGAGTACTTAAGGGTCCTGAACAATCACGGATATCCTAGGAGACATTGAACAGATAAGAGGCCTTTCTCAAGGCAGTGAAATGAAATAACACCATCCATAAAGTTAGAGTTGGTTTAGACCAACTAATATTAACGTACTGACTGTAATTCATCCTGATCTTTGCTGTTTACCTCTGCAACATGAGCAAAAACATTATCATTTACATTTTTCTCATTCCTTTTTAGATTAATGTTGAATTACTATAAAAGCCTAGAAAGAAACACAATTGCTTTGACCTAATTTTTAGTTCCTAAATTTTAACAAAATCTTATGTGGCCAGTATGAAAAAGCTTAAAACAGCTTGTATGCCCAACACGAATGGACATGCAAAAGCAATACTATAACTTCAGAATCTGAGATCCTTCCAACTTGAAAATCAGGATGCTTAAATATCTGGCATCATATGATGCGATTAACTTCTTCAGTGTGATTTGACAAACCATCAGTGATAAGTCAGAGTGTTTATACAGACATGTTTAAGGGCAGATTTAAAATTTGTTCCTGGACATTCAGCAACAGATTCAGCAACAGCTGATGCCATGTTTCAGAGCAGGCTCTGGAGACAGACCATGTGGATTCTAATCCTGGCTGTAGCAACTTATTCGTTGTGTAAAGTTACTTGGAAAAGTTATTTAAATTCTCTCTGTCTCAGTTTAAATTCTCCGCCTCATCACAACACTACTTACCTCACAGATCATAGGTCATACATGCATGTAAAGCACTTAGCAGAGCAATGGAACACAATAAGAGTGCAATACATCCAGCTATAATCAATCTTTCTCATCAGGAATCACAAGAACCCAAATGTTAGAAAGGGTACAGAAGGGTGCTTAAGCAATTTAGATTAAGAGAAAATGCAATTTCATTTGTATGAAACTTGTTTATTTTTCTATAACTGACCCAGAAGTTCTGTAATATATATGTCAGAGAAGTGAAATTCAGTAAGTTTTAAATATCTCCATCAAATTTCAATTTTTCTCTGGCTTACTCATTTAAACACACTTCTTTGCACCGTATGATAAACTACGAATTTGGTTTATTCTGCATCTGGTTTACCTGGGGAGCCCTACTTTCCTGCACTTTTGCCACACCCTGTTACAAACTCATTCTGAGTCTACATCTAATGTTTAGTGACTTTGCTGAAAATTATTTGCTTTAAACCAAAGTTTAAAACTCTTGGTTTCTTTTTGCTAAACTCATGGAACCGTGTCTACGTTCCTAATTCTTGCCTACATCAACTCGTTTATCTTACCTCTACCCTTAAATGCCTTAAGGCAAAGCATATCATTTCCCTTCCATACAAACAGATTAACACTCTAAGGTGTTTTTCCTAGGCTGACTTTCCCAGTCCAGGTCCCAGTTTTGCCATTGACCCAGATCTGCCTTCTAACCTGGGCCTTGGCGCTATATTCGATTTCCTCAAGCATAAAATCACAACTACGGCCCAGGTTACTTTGGTGCCTCCCGTGCCAGGTGGCAGGGGGCGGGGCTAGCGGCCTCCCGGACGCCACTAGGTGATGGGGAAGCAGAAGGCGGGGCCAAGCAGGGTGGCAGGTATGTTGTGAGGTGGTCACGGGCGAGGCGACGACTAGGGCAGCAGGTGGAAGGGGCAAAGCCGAGCCGCGAAGCACGGATCAGAGGCGGAGAACGGTGGGGCGCTCTGGAAATGGGCGATCCAGCAGCACTGGGAAGGAGGATCAAGGCCAGCAGTCACGGGGACACGACCAAATGGGGACCAGGAGGTAGCCGGCCATGGGGCGGAGCCAGTGGCTTGAGAAACCAATTGGGGAAAGTTCCGGAGTGACACTGCCGCGCTCACAGACCAGCAGAGCTTGGGTTAGGGCTGCTGGAGACCAGCAGGAGTCCCGGGATCAATACCTGAATAAGGGCCTTCACCTCCAGGTCAAATTTGACAATCTCTTGGTTACAGATCCGGACGTGGACATCTTGGGGAGCCGCCATGTTGAGGACGGACGCCGGCTACGGGCAGCGGCAGGGCCCAAGTTCAAACGCGTTTTCGCAGCACCTTCTTTCCCTCCCCACCTAGTCTCGGGGCAGCGCCCCCTAGAGACCGGCGAAAATGGCATGCGAGGGTCCCTGCTTAGAGTTGGAAATTTACCCGACACGTGGAGGGAAATCAGCCTCTCCTCTTAGTATGACCCTAATAACATGGAGAGGAGGAGAAGAGGGAATATCAAGAACGCTTCACAGTGATCTCTTTCCAACTTCCTTCTGTCAGGCATTCTAATAACTACGTATTTTTTGCATAGAAAAAACAAAGATGGGAAGAAAAGTATCCATTGGGATGTCTCTGGAAAGTACAAGTAACACTTTTTTTGTTTCCTTAAACTTTCTTATATTTTTAATATTTTCTACAGTGAGTATAAATTGTGGAGTAAAAGAGAAAATGATAAACGTTATATGCTTTTTAAAGTATGGAGTTCAAGGCAGGTCAGTAGAGTTCCTCCTATCACTCCAACAGGATTTGAGGGATCTTTTTGTAAAACGTGAAATTGATCAAGTCACCTCCCTGTATGCAGCCTTTCTATGGTTGCTGATGATTCTTTTTTGTATACCCTCAACAAATGGTGACTCCTTTATTTTTGTTAGTAAATAATCCAAGTTTCTTAGCTGGTTCTCAAGGCCATCAGCCACCCCGGCCACCAGCCACCCCATCCTGCAGGCACCCTTCCTGGATTCCTCAAGCTTTCTGGATGTGTAGCCTTAGAATGTGGTGTTCTCTTTCCCTAGAATGCTTTTCCCCACTCGACCCCCCTCCATCTGCTTTTGTTCATGTCACTTCGGCAAGTATAGATTGTGAAGAACTGAATGCCCAGGACATGCATGTTCATCTCTCTTAATCCTCACAACCATCCTTGAAATTGTCCTACACCAGTATTATAGATCAGGAGATGGGCTGAAAGCAGATTAAAACAAAAGAAAACAAAACCAACCCTGCCCCAAGATTACCCATCCTGAAAGTGTCACGGCCTCTACTGAAAGCCATCTTTTCCCCAAAAAATCAACATGGCCCCCACTTGTTGTAAGCGGGGCTCTGTGCTTGGGTGTTCCTACAGCCCTCTCCATACCCTCTCGTAAGGTGCTCATCACCCCACCGCACCTAATAGAGAGGCAGTGTATCACAGGATTCACATCTGCCCGAGCTCGAATCCTGTCCACGGCATACTTTGCATGCCTGTGCCTGTCTCCTCAGAGGCTAACTGGTGGTAATCAATAGCACCTTCACAGGCTGGAGGATTAAGTAATACATGAAAAGCACCAAGCACGGAGTGCTAATGTGGCATGTGGTAAGATCTCAATGCCCGTTAGCTGCTATTATTCTACTACTAGCCAACATTTTGGGAGCACGTCTTATGTGCCAGGAACTTTGTACTAAGTGCTTCACGTGTGTCTCGTTTAACTCTCCCAACTCTGTGAGGTACAAACAGGACAGAGAAGAATAATGACTTGCCCAGAGCAAATGGAGTTGCTAGGTCAAAGGACATATGCGTTTTAAAATTCTTACGTACTGGTGCATCACAACCAGGGTGCCCGCCCCGCTCGTCCAGCTTGCCTGCCCGTCGGTCCCCGCGGCGGCAGCGGCTGCCCAGTGACAGCGGCGGCGGTGCCAGGCCGGCCGTGGTAGCCTAGGGTTGCACGGCTCGGAAACGCAGAGCCGGCCGAAGAGCGGCTCGATGAGTGGAAGGCCGAGTCCGGGCCGCGCGCGAAGAGACCTCGCGGGCGGGGAGCAAAAGGCCGACGGGAGTGAGCGCGGAGACAGTGGCTGCAGGCGGCCCAACCCGTCCGTCCCCTCGGCCGCCGCCGGCCTGAGCCACAACCAGATCCCGCCGGGGCTCACGGAGCTGCTGCAGGGCTACACCGCGGAGGTGCTGCGACAGCAGCCGCCTGACCTCGTGGAATTCGCAGTGGGCCACTTCACCCGCCTGCGCGAGGCCCGCGCCCGTGCCTCTGCCCTGCCCGCCGCCACCCCAAGCCAGAGCCCGGGCCACACCGCGCCAGAACCCGGCCCGGACCACGTCCCCGACGCCAACGGGGACAGCGAGGCGGAGGAGGACGAGGACTTGGACGTTCCTAGCACATTTAATAGACGAGTAACAGTCTGTGCTGAGACCTATAACCCTGATGAGAAAGAGGAAGATCCAGATCCAAGGGTGATTTCATCCTAAAACCGATGAACAGAGACGCAGACTTACAGGAAACTTGCAAAGATATTCTCCCTGTCAAAAATCTTGATCAGGAACAGCTTTCTCAAGTTCTTGATGCCATGTTTGAAAGGATAGTCAAAGCTGGTGAGCATGTCATTGACCAAGGAGATGATGGAGACAACTTTTATGTCATAGAATGGGGAACTTAGGACATTTTAGTAACAGAAGATAATCAAACCCGCTCTGTCGGTCAGTATGACAACCACGGCAGTTTTGGAGAACTAGCTCTGATGCACAACACCTCCAGAGCTGCTACCATTGTTGCAACCTCAGAAGGCTCCCTTTGGGGACTGGACCGGGTGACTTTTAGAAGAATCATAGTGAAAAATAATGCAAAGAAGAGGAAGATGTTTGAATCATTTATTGAGTCTGTGCCCTTCCTTAAATCACTGGAGTTGTCAGAACGAATGAAGATTGTGGATGTAATAGGAGATAAGATCTATAAGGATGGAGAATGCATAATCACTCAGGGTGAAAAGGCTGATAGCTTTTACATCATAGAGTTTGGTGAAGTGAGCATTTTGATTAGAAGCAAGACTAAATCAAACAAGGATGGTGGAAACCAGAAGGTCCAGATTGCCCGTTGCTTTAAGGGGCAGTACTTTGGAGAGCTTTCCCTGGTCACCAACAAACCCAGAGCTGCTTCAGCTTATGCAGTTGGAGATGTCAAATGCTTAGTTATGAATGTACAAGCATTTGAGAGGTTTCTGGGGCCCTGCATGGACATCATGAAAAGGAACATCTCACACTATGAGGAAAAGCTGAAGATGTTTGGCTCCAGCATGGATTTGGGCAACCGCGGGCAGTAGGTATGCCACACCCCAGAGCCTTCTTAGTGTGACACCAAAACCTTCTGGTCAGCCACAGAACACATACAGAAAACAGACATGACAGAACCGTTCGTGACGTTGCCACCACTGCTGCCACTGCTGTGGTTATGGGCATTTAGAAAACTTGAAAGTCAGCATTAAAGGATGGGCAGAGGTTCAACCCACAACTCCACTTTGCTTCTGAAAGCCCATTATTAGACCACTTGTAAAGATTACTCCAACCCGGTTTTCACATCTTTGGTTCAGAACAGCATGTCTCTCCAACAATTTAAGTGCCTGATACAAGGTCCAAAGTATAAACATGCTCCTTTCCTCTCTTGCTGCTACTCTTGCTTTCGGAAGTTACCACAGGGTCTGCAGAATCCTGTTGTATAAGTGTAGACACTCTCTAATCTTCCTCAAAGGAGGAAATGTAGCCTTCAGTCTCCTCATTTGTCCTTTGAGAAAGTCCACATTTGTTCACAGTTGCAGCCTTTGGTTTTACAGTGGGAAATGGTGGTGGATGAGATGGGCATATGTGGCCCAGTGGCACTGTACTGTCTGCTGACCACTGTCTCCAAACCCACAGTGATGCTTAGGGAAAGACCCTGCTCAGGACCCAGCAGATCAGCACCCCAGAGCAGACTAATAGGTCAGTGGGACCCATGTTAGAGCAGAAAATTTGGGCTCAGCACATTTTACTGTTAGTAGAGAGCCAGGAAAGGTTTTCCGGGTTGGGGTTTTTTTTTTTAGTAGGTTTTGTTTAACCTCTGTGCAGTTTGCATGAATGAATTACTATCCATTTATAAGGAGCCAGGATCTGGAAGGTTGATATCACTTTGTCCGACCCAAATACCTTCCTGGGCAACTCCTACCATTTGTTTGCAGTTGCCCCTCCTGGCTAATGGCAGTAGGCTGGCAAGAGGTTGTACTATAAAGAGAGCTCTTGCCTTCTACTCCAGAGAATTATTGTGTAGCTTTGCCGTTGAACCTGCCAATTTTTAAACTCCTTAAAGAAGCAGCAGCTATTTTTTTGAAATTAAAACAAATTATTTCTCAGGCCAAGCTCAATGGCTCATGCCTATAATCCTAGTGCTTTAGGAGGCTGAGGTGGGAGGATCGTTTAAGAGCAGCCTGGGCAACAGAATGAGACCATCGCTCTACAAAAAAAATTTTTTTTTTTAAATTTGTCAGGTGTGGTGGTGCCTGCACGTAGTCCCAGCTATTTAGGAGGCTGAGGTGGGGGAGGGTCACTTGAGCCCAGGAGGTCGAGGCTACAGTGAGCTGTGATCCTGCCACTGCACCCCAGTCTGGGTGACACAGGGAGACTCTGTCTCAAGAAAAGGAAAAGAAAAAATTATTCTTTAGGTAATTTAACTTGGACATATTCATATATATGGAGTTTGTCTGCTGACGCAGGCATTTGTCCTAAAGATCAAATCTGTTTTCAAAAATTGGCATCATTTACAATTCCATAGAATTACCGTGAAGGCCTTTCTAGGTAAGATGTTGGGGTATTTGGAATTCTAATTGTTAACCCCAGAAGAAGGTAATTTCACTTGTTTTTATTTAAAACCCATTTAGCCTTTTAATTCTCTCAGGTAGAATTCCAGTAATCATCCTAACAAGGCATATTTCAGAATAATTTTTTTTTTCCTTCAGAATAACTTAGAATCAGATGCTGTAAGGGGTCCTAGGAGCAGTGTGAAATTTCCATAAAGATAAATTTGAATGTTGTAATCAAGTTGATATTAAATCAAGAGGCCCATTCCAATATGATTTTTTTTTTAACTTGTATAACTCAGTAAGTCCCTAAGAGATTACGTGCTAGGGCTTGAGTCATTCCTGTTGTAGATAATGATGGTCCACACAGTCACCTTCCACTGTCCACATAGGCTAGGCTTTCTGCTTTTGCCATAGACAGTGTGGCCAAGATATTTCCAATGTAAATAACCCACCACAACCTTAGTAATTTCTCTTTTCTTCCTACGCTTCACAAAGCAAAAGCAGAAGGACTCTTTTCAGACTGTCCTCTGTAGCCTACATTGAAGCTTTCAGAATAGTGAAAGGTTATAATTAATACTCCCAAACAGGTAGCTAGCACTGAGAAAGACCATGTGGTGATCCCACATTTTTCTAAGGTTCTTTTTCTCCATGGTGTTACTTTATTATCAAATAAATTCAGAAAGCAGGTCTTGTATTTAGCAGACAAGAACCATACCAGTTTCTTGCAAAGGTAACAGGTACATTGGGTTTCAGGAGTGACACAGAGGTCCAGCCCTAGAACTTGTGAGGATTTTGTTTGAACACTGAGCAGATGCCTCCTCCCTACCACCCATCACACTAGTTAGGGCTGGCTGTGAATTCTGTGCCAGAGTCACTCCTGCAGTCTGCTAGGGATGGGCCTTTTCATCGCATTCTCACACAATCCCCATCTAGTCTTTCTCTTCACAGACCCCTCCTTGACATCCCTGACTTGATGGTTTTGGAGTTGAACTGATCAGGTTTAAGTCGTCCTGCTCAGGTTGGGCATGGTGGCTCATGCCTTTAATCCTAGCACTTTGGGAAGCCGAGGTGGGAGGACTGCTGGAGCCCAGAAATTTCAAACCATCCTGGGCAACAGAGGGAGACCCTGTCTCTACACACACACACACACACACACACAATTAACTGGACCTGGTAGTGTATGCCCAGGAGGCTGAGGTGGAAGGATTGCTTTAACCCAGGAGATTGAAGCTGTAGTGAGCCATGATCGTGCCACTGCACTCCAGCCTGGAGGACAAAGTGGGACCCTGTCTCCAAAAAAGAAAGTCACCCTCCTCTAACTACTGATTGACATGTGGATCATCAGTTCAGACCTTCACTGCATGCAGGATTCCTAGGGAGTTCTATTTACTAGCTTGAGGAAGGGAGACTTTAAAAGGACGTGTGTGAATGAAACAGGATATAGCCATTACCACAGTGCCAGGACCTGACAGCGTTCCAATTCTTTTTGCAGCATGGGGAATCAAAGGTGGCAGACCAAGTTCAACTCAGGGCTGAGGTATCCACATTGTCCACATCAGGCAAGCCCTGCACTGATGGTTGAGCCTCATGGAGAGGAGCATGTGTTGGGAAGAGATCCCTTTGTTAACTATTTTATGTTCTCTTCAATGAGTTAGTGCTCATACCCCATTTCTGGCTTTGCTGTTGATTTTGGATGGTAGAGAATATTCCTGAGACCCTTCCTTTTGGCCCCCAGCATATCCCACCCACTCTCTTCTCTTGGTCGAATTCTCTGAAGAAAAGGTACATGTGCTGTTGTCCAGTTAGTCAATAGTCTTCATATATAATTGTGTTATATATATTGCTGTAGACTCTCAGAAATCCGGGTAGAGCTTTCCCTTTGAACAGTTCAATGAGTGAATTCAGCAGCAAAGTGACAAGAAATGCTTACCCAGCTAGGAGAGGTTATGTTTATCCTCTAATTGCCCATTTTCTCTGTGCACAGCGATACTGTATTCAGTGAGAGGTGCTGTTAGCACCTGTGTCACAGTGTACAAGCTTCTCTCATTTAGAAAAAAAAGCATTTTACACAGAGAAAAAGTAAGAAGACTCATGAATGCCATCTTCTATCTTTTCTTCTCAGTTGGCTGATGTTGGAATTTTTGTTCTTGTCATGCACTTGTAAACCAATCTTGCCAAGATATGAGTTGTTTTGGTTTTTCACTATGATTACCTCTTGTTCCTCCTGTCTTGACTGCTGGCGTTCCTCAATTCTTCTATTGTCTATTTTATGGGAAGCAGCTTTCCTATAGGTTTCCTTTTACACACTGCAGGGCTATCTTTATACTTAAAAAAAAAAAAAAAAGGACAAGAACAGTCACTAACCTCATGGGGGCTTTCATAAAACCATTTAGTCCACCTTGAGCAAAGGGTAGATTCCATGTTTTTTTAAAGCTCACTGTAATGAAAGAAATCTGATTCAGCGTTATTGTGCTACCTCAACGGTAAAAAATGTTTTAAGGTCTTCTTTTGGTCCTGAGTTCTACATATAGTGTTTGAAATGTCTTTCAATTGGAATTATTTTTTAAATTATTGGGGTGAATTTTATTTTAACCAGTTTTAAACTTGTATTTTAATCTCAGAATAAGTGATTGGTGATTGAAAAGAGATCAATTCTTGCTCTATGGTGTGAAAAATATAATGAACAGTCATTAAGAATTAAGTCTGTTTGCCATAAATAAGGTTGATGTTCTTCTTGTTTTTGTTAAGGAAACTCTAGGGCTTGGCTTTACTCTTGATTAATAAAGGCTGACAAATTATGTCTGAAAAAAACAATTCTTACGTACTACCAAATTGCTCTTCATAGGGATTGTCAATCCAAACTCCCTCCAGCAACATGGCATAAATGTGCGTTCTCCATAGCCTTGTCAACAGGTTAGGTTAACAAAATTGGAACTTTTGCCAATCTGATTAGGTGAAAATGTCTTCTTTTATTTGCACTTCTCTGATCATGAAAGAGGTTGAGGAACTCTACCTATGTTTCAGAGCTATTTGTATTTACTCTATTGTCCACTCATTGTTCTATGGGGTTGCTGGTTTTTTAAAAATCCATTTCCAGGAACTCTATATATTAGGAGGATTAGTCCTTAGAGATGAGTTTCAAAGCTTTTCTAATTTTTTTTAAGACTTCTATAGACTTTAAAAGTCTATAGAATTTTGATTTGGCTTATGGTGTTTTAGTCTTTAATATTTTGTTAATCTTGTTTTACACTGAATTTATCAATCTTTATTCATGATTCCTGGATTCGGGGTCCAAGTTAGAGAAGCCTTCCCCACTTACAGAGATTTATGGGTCTTTTGTGAGTTTTTTTTACACTTAGATCATTATCTATTTTGAAATACATGTTGGCTTATGTTGTGAGATATTAAGCCAATTTTACTTTTTCCGGAGGTTACTCAGTTATTACGATACTATTTACTGAAGAGTCTACCTTCTTCCTCACTGGTTCTGGACGTCCCATTTGCCATACAAAATTGTCTTACGTATTTGAGTCTATTTTTAGATCTTCTATTCTCCTTGACTGGCCTGTCTATTCATGCATCAAAATGACAGTTTTAATTATTATAGTTTTATAATGACTTTTAATATCTGCTAGAATTAAATACCTCTTCTTCTTGCCCCCACCCTCCATGGCTGCCCCCTCGCCCTCACTGCCAACCAGCATCTTCCAGCTATTTTTTCTCTGTGTAAAAAATTTTTTTAACCCTCTTGGTATGTTTTCTTAGGATGACATTACATTTTTTAGCAACATTATATTTTTAATTTAACTTAGCACTGTGAGTTTTATGTCACCGCTCCTGTTTAAGAACTTGGTGTATCTTCCAATGTATTCAAGTTTCCTTCTGTGTCCTTCACAGAACTTTTAAAGTTTTCTTTATCCTAGACCTTGTATACATTTTCTGTTAAGTTTATTCCTGGTAATATTTTAAGCACCTGCTTTATAAGGTCAAAACCTTTTAGAGAAACTGAGGTTTCCTTTCTTCAGGTCACTCCAATGTTTTGGATACTCACATAGAAGCTCCCTATTTAGGACAGCAGAGAAGCTCCAAAGCTAGCAGTTGGCAGACCTGCGCACATGCCTACTCTTTCACATCATGCTTCTTGTTGGATATTTGCATGCAATCAACAGTCCCCAGTTGCATCTCTATGCTGCAGCTAAAGAAGGAAACACAGCTCCCTTTTTCTCTACCCTCCAATATTCTTCCTTCCAATAAGGAGACCCAAATCTTAAATCCTTAAGCTAGAGACCATCCTCGAGGAACAGGTGTGCAATCTAGTGATTATACCCAATCACTGGTTCCTCTCAACTCTTGTTTTGCTTCCCCTATTACCTCTACCCACAGATCCTGAGACTAGCTTTTGTTTATCTGCTAGGTTTTGGTTTTAATTCTTTTTGGTTTTTAGATTCTAAGGCCTTTGTCCCTCGCCTCCAGAAATGTCCCAAATATTGCCTGTGACTTGGCCTGATCCCAAAGAGATGAATACGAATTGGTGCAGAAAGCCGACTGGAGTTTGAATTGGAGCTCTATAATCATATAAGCTAGGTTTGGAACTAGTCTCCTCATATTAGTCTAGTCTCTTTTGTAAAATGGACATGACTACCAGCCTCACTGGGCCCTTAAGGACACCAGCCGAGTTTCCTATAACAAAAGCACCTAGCAGAGTCTTAAGGAATGCCACTTCATCCCCTAGGGCTTTTTTTTTTTTTTTTTTAAAGACGGGGTTTCACCATGTTGGTCAGGCTGGTCTTGAACTACCAACCTCAGGTGATCCGCCCGCCGTGGCCTCCGAAGTGCTTGGATTACAGGCATGAGCCACCACGCCCGGCCCCCCTAGGGCTTTTTAACACCTTCTTCCCGCTCTGAACCTTTTAGCTGGGATATTAAAGCATTTCCCAGCCATCTTCTTTCTTTCAAATTCTCCACTGTACTGTGTGGCTGAAGAGCTCACCAGTTGAATGAGCCATCTAACTGGATGCTATCCACAGAAGGTTTAGTTTCCTAAGAACTATACTGATCTGGCTCACCCAGCCCTTTAACAGTCTTAAGACCTTGACAGAGGCTCCTGTGAGCACTGGTCTTGACAGATCGAGTCCTGATGCAGAACCAGTCCATGGGAGGCCATGTCCCTCCCCTTTGCTTCCTGATGGCCCCAGTGTCACATGAATCAAAGAGGATTTCTTCAAGGGTCCAGGATACTTGGAATACAAGTCTATGATTCTCTAATATATGCCACTGGATGTGGTACCTGTCTCCTTGAAAACACCTCGGCAAGGATAATGTACCTAGAGCATATCTGTAATGTGTACTGTTGCATATCTGTATAATGTACATATCTGATAATGTACCTTTGCATATCTGTAACAGCTCTTGTGTTGTTCTGCAATCCTGTTCACGTGCTGGCTGTGGGTTCCTGGAGTTCTCTTTAATCTCTCTATTGCCCAGTACCTAGTACAGGTCCTGGCAGAGTGAGTGTTCAATAAATATTTGCTGGCTGAAAGAACACATACTCTGATGGTAGCTTTCACTTAGGTCTCTGGACTTAAGGTTCTGTGTATACGCCCAGCTTAGCTTGGAGACTTACAATGATTAAACACACACACACACACACACACACACACACACACGCACGCACGCACGCACGCAAATGTTTACATCAGGAGAGACCCAAAATATTTTATTTCCCATGGAGAACACTTGCCCCAAGATTCAAAGAGGAGAAATAAGAATAAACTATCCTCTAAACTGTGAAGAATGCAAACGCTTATATCAGCAAATAATTCTATATAATAGCTAAATGTCCCTAAAATATTGAAAACTCAACCTATAGTGTCAAAAAAAAGTTAGTTCTTTGAGTACTACCATGAGAGGGGCAGCACGACCAGCAGTTCACTACTGTCTGTGATTTGTCATTTCTTTGGAATAGGTTCTCTTGAGAAGTGGACGGTTACCTAGGTAAGCAAGATACAAGTACAGAAGAAAGGAAGGGCGAAAACATGAGGCAAACAATTCAGAACCTTTTCTTTTCATTTTTTTATTTTAAATTACAAAGGATGTTGCATACACTGATGAATCTGTATCTGACTAGAAGTGCTCAGGGGTTGGAAGGTGACAGAAAACAAAGGCAAAATTTGCATTGCCTTTCCTTCTGAAATGAAAAACTGCACAACTATTAACCAACATTTAATAGAATAATTTTTAAACAGCTCATGCGTCAACAAGATAAAATTCTTTCTAGACAAGAGACAAGACTGAATCCAATAAAAAGTGTCATAGCTCCAGCTGGGAGAGAGGGAAAAAAAAACTACAGAATATTTATGATAGCATTACAAACAGGATCCTACGCAACTATGCAAAAGAGGTTGCCACATTGTGCGAACAAATGCTTTGAATTCTTGCCCTTCCACACTTCTCTTGTGACTTCTGTGCTGTCAGCCCCAGTATTGCTGTCAACCACAATGCTAAGCTATAGGACAAAATCCTAGGGAAAGAAGGTAAAAAAGCAGGCAGTGGAATACAGTGTCATAAAAATGTGGTGGAAAGGCAGATACAGTACACACATACACATTTCTGTTATTTGGTTCTGAAAAAAACAAAGGGCGAAGGGCAAGACATAGTAATCAGTCCTGCTCCTATCCACCCAGAATTTAATTAACTACACCATTGTGTTTACACTGTTATGAAAGAGGCAAACCGAACCTAGTTCACCCAAACTTGGCACATTGAAATACCCAACTTTGATGTTCTTCACTAGTCACCAAGTCTTCAATTCCAAAATACTGTCTGGAAGTAGCTTTGAGGTTCTATTCCCTCACTACTACCTCCAAACCTCTCTTATCTAAACAAAAATGGCAATTTGGCCTAGCTCAGTTCTAGGTGTAATTTCTACAATTTCAGTCAGTTTATTAAGCGTGAGGATCATGCTTCAACACATAATCCCACTTGCCTATGGAAGTGTATAACTTTCAGTAGTACATTTTCATCATCTTTCCCCAACATGCTTATTCCTTAAAACGAAACAACCATTCCTACAGTTGACATTCATTGTTACATCCCAATGTGTTTGAAATATTAAAAAAACATGGAGTCGTCTTCGCATAATGCCCTTATTAAGATTACAAAGATTACAAAAGAATCCACAAGTATTACGGCACTGTGTGAGACTTATTTGTCATGATCCAAGGGAAGAACAAGACTGCAGTTCTGTGCAAAGTTGTGGAAATGGCCTCAGTTCCATGGGAAACGGTATTCCACAACAGACTTCACTAGAAGGATAATTGAAACCTTTTACTTTAACACTGAAAGCATAATTCAATGCATTCTCAAAATTCAAGTTTCAAGATATGGAGAGATGCTAACATTCTGTTACATAATTAACTAGAAAACACTTGAACAGAATTTAGGAAACTATATAAAGAAAGGGAACATAAGTTTTTGTTAATTCCTGCTGAAGGCAACTTGAATTCATTTCTTCGAACATTAACTAAATCTTAGCAGCTAAATTTTTTTGAATGTATGGAATAAAGAAAAGCACATCCATTCTTGACATTTTGGTGAATAAACTAACAGCTTTATTAATGAAGGCAAACATCAGATCATTGTATGAATATTATATATATATAAAAAGAAATTCAAACTAACAGCATTGTATTTCAAAAGTACTGTACTTCTGTTTCTTTTAAAGAGACTTGTCATCTGTTTTTATAAAACAAACAAAATGGGTACTCTTCTCCTAAAAAATCCTGGAAAAATGAAATAGTCAATTTCAAGCTGATGAACTGAACACACCTTTCTTTAAATGCAGACTATTGCTAGGAAGCAAATAAAGTCAAGCATCAGAAAGAAGATGTATGAGAAATTCATGAAAGTCAGAGAAAGGGGATGTAGTGAAATTACTGCTAATCTTTCCCCCTCATATTCAAAGACCATCCAAAACTGGTCTTTCATACAAATATAAAATAACTATAAAGAGAGGGAATTTGAAACTATACCCATCTGAAATCCTTCATGATGCTTTTGTAATAGTTCTGATTCTCTTACCAAAAAGGTCAAAGTTAAAGATGTAGGAAGTGAAAGGGAATGAAGACGTTTAGTTTTAAATGTACAAGTAAGGCACAATATAAAGCCACATCATAATCTGTCATGAAGGATATAGGAAAGGACAAGAATCATACATGGTACAGTAGAACAAGCAATTATATTGACTGAAAAAGTGTGGCACCCAATTCAAAACTCAGACAAGATCTTAACAAGAGCGACTGGACAGCATGCTTTCATATGGAGACAAACTCTATAAAGAATCCAGTGTATCTGAAACTAGGAAAAAAAGTTTCCATTCGTTTTTTTTAAAAAAATCATAGTAGTACTAGAGTCAAAGTTTATAATTGCTTTGGAACAATGGGTTTACTTGAGGTGAATTCACAATGCCTTCACTTAAAGTAAGATTCTGGACTTCATTATGAGCTATCTGTATACCATGTATGAACACAGAAAACCTTTAGAGAACTCTTCTCTAATGATCTTCACTCAAAAATACATGCCACAATTTTCAAAAACAGAACATGTACAACTGTTGGGGTTTTTACATTACCCTTATAAGATTTGTTTGTGTGATACACTAAACATATATATTTTAATGACAATAGAGGAAGCAGATTATTACTGGCATTAAAGTACAACCATTTCTAGACGGTTTTAAATGCCACAGAGTCCCCTGGTTAAAATGTAAAGCTGCACAGCTTGCCTATGTCATCTTTATGATAAAGTTAAAACAGCAAGAGGATTTAACTTTCACTCTACATTTTACTGCCAGGTTTTTATTTAGATCAAGTATCGCTGCAGCATTCTGACCAGCCCAGATTTAGCAGCAAATGGCAGGAATCATATAAAATGCAATTTTTTTTAACAAAGTGCTTTTCTAAGATATACATACATATATAAATAGGTACAAAATAAAGTGTCAACATTAAAAAGCTCAACTATTTAAAAGCTTTTAACTATTTAACTTAAGTAGTACATATAAAACACTGAAACTCAAGGATATGGAATCTACTAAACAGATTCAAAGTCTTTTTTTTGAAATGCAAGACCAAAAAATCAAATTCTGGTTTGCAGACAGGAAAAAGGTATCAAAAACCAGAATTCCTAACAGAGCAGCTAGAAAGGGGCAATTTTATAAACCTTATCAGCTGAATATCATGAGGCAATTTTCACCTGATTGCAAAACTGCCACAGTTTGAAACACTTTTCAATTTACCAGACACACTCTGTCAAGACTTCATATACTTCCAACTTGCAAGCCTGTCTGTGCTCTGCCTTCTCCCACCTAAAAAGGAAAAACTTTAAACAATGAACTTACATTCTATTAAACCATTAGACTTGAGCTTATCATCTGTTTAGCGTGAATGTACTAACCAGGTACATTTCCACCAAACACATAGAAAAATCTTGTGCATCACAGTTCAGCTAAGGTGGTAAGAAAATCCTTACAATCCTTCTTGGGTTTCTTTTTTAAGATGTCAAAGAAGCAGGTAAGCAACATTGTTCACTTTTACTGTGTGTTCTAGATCAAACCTTCACAAGCTATAGCTTCATGTGCTATAGCTTACAAATGGGGTGTCAGAAGTAAAAGAAAAGAACAAATTATACTTTGACACTTTATAGTCAAAGTATAATTAAGAAATAAATCCTACAGCGGGTAATGGAGAAATAGGTAATTTTTCCAGCAGCTATGCCTGAAATTTTTGGTATTTTTTTCCTTACTAAATGTTTTTTTTTCTTTTTTTTAGTTTTTAAGCCACCAGTTTTCAGAGTTCAAAACACAAGATTTGAGAATAAAACAGTAAGAGAGACAGGATGAAAGATCTGTGGGGGAAGGTTTATAATGCTGCCTTGACATAATAAATTTCTCAAGAGGTAAAGCTTGAACACAGTTAAAACACTGACTAACGAAGCTGTTTTATATGAGCAAAAAAGAGCACCTAAAAACTAAATGTGTTAATGTTTCTCAATTCTAGAAACTATAGAAGAATAAGTCACATGTTAAGTTTGAAGAAGCTAGTTTGAAAATACCTGTACAAAAATATAAAAATCTATAAATTTTTGTTTTTGTTTTAAGCCTGTGTTGATCTTTGAAAATATTACATGCACGATAATACATCAATTTTCGGAAAAGTGGCAACTAAAGAATTAGGTGTTTTTAGCTTTTTTCTTTTTTACATATATATATATACATAATACAATAAAAATAATCTATTTTGTTGTTTGGTGGAAGTATACTACAATAAGCTAAATAAACATTTTAATTTTCAAAGTCAAAAACTATTTTACCAATAGCTTACTAAAATGAAATATATTAAAATTTCCTACAATAAGTGCAGAAATAAAAGACATCTAAATGGCCACCAACTTATCTACTATGGAAGCGAACTAGAGGAACAGCAAAATAATATTTGTATGTATGGATGCTCCTTCTGTAGATAATTGGACCCAACAGAAATAAAATTCACAGTTCAGTAAGATCCCTAACCCTGACCTTTTTTTTTTTCTTTTTTTTCTCCTTTTTTTCATACATTCATACAGTATCATGTAAGCTGTGCAAAACTTTACTTAGACTGGCAGTTTGCCATATCAGTTGCATTTGTCTTTGGTACAAAAAATAAAACAATCGCAATAATGTGCAAGTATTTGTCTTCTTCCGGTCAAGTACCGAAATATGAGTTTTCTAGAGCCATCTTTTTTTTGTTATTTTTTTGTTTTGTTTTTTATACAATACACAGACTCTGTGGCATATATCTACATTTCAACATAGTCCTATATACATTCAAAAAATCTGAAAAAGAGTTGGAACAAAAAAACATTTAAACCCCATAATTTTTCCATCTATATATCTTGTTTTTTCTCATTAGGGTTTTCATCATACAAAATATTACCAGTTTTATAGTTTCCCCAAAATACAAGGCACAAAGAATATGCTTTTTTTTTCTTACTTGCACAGACATTTGTGTGTGTGTGTGTGTGTGTGTGTGTGCATGTGTGTGTATATATATATATTTATATATATCATCTTGAACTCTGACAATGAACATCTAATATGGCCCACAGGCACAAGTGCTGGGTGTGCCATGTACAAGTGAGATTAATGGTTGTGGAAAATTAGAACAAAAAGCAATAATTCTAAAAACAATTTTAACCAACTGTTTAAAAAAATGCTTCCTCAATTTTTTTGTGTGGTTCAGAGCATAAATCTACCACAATACTTGGCATTTTACTATTTCACACCTCCAAAATGTTTTTCTTTAACAGATTTTTGTAATCTGTACCTAAACATTTACTTAAACATGTGATTTTCAATTCTGATGCCAATTGTAGTTTTAATCATGGTTTATGCTCTGAAAATGCAATAATCAAGTATTTTGGATCATGCTTCACTTATGCTACTTAGTTCTTAAAACAATGTAACCTAATTGTAAATGTTTACATAATGCTAACTGACATGCAAAACAGAATGAAAATTTACAATGGATAACATGACAAAACGCAGACATTTCTGACCAGTGGTCCAATGAGGCTGATTACACCTTTGATGTTGGTATCCTTAATCCTACAAGGCCTCCAGTGGGATTCCCTTCTGCAGTCTTCTCTAATACTTGGTTAACAAATTCTGAGGTTTGCCCAGCAACTGGTAGACCTGAAGAGAAGAATAAAAGACACATCTAGACATAGAAATAGAAAGGCATGAAGGGAAGGGGAGGGGCTGGTAACATCTGAGGATCCGGTGTGGCCCTCAGCTTGATACTGGTTCCAAATGAATTCCCTGCCACTTGCTATTGCAGCTCAGAAAATAATGCTACCCTCCACATTACTGTCTAAAATTTTAAGATTAGAAGAGTCAAACCAAGAATAGTCATGAAAAATCATAAATCAACATTTAAAGTGGGGTAGATGACAAGTATAACAGTCCAAATAACAGTCCAAATCCAAACCCAAAGCCTGCCAACAGGCACCACTTCCCATGTCCACCGAACAGGATTTTCCCTGTTCTCTCACCAGTCTCTTACAATTACCCTAACCTCACCAAATTCCAAGAGTCGGTTTCATCCATGGAACTGAAAATGAAGACCTGAAGGATGTTTTTGGTCATTTTTATAATTAATGGATACAGTTTAAGTTTCCTTTGCTTCATTTAAAAAAGTCAATGAATAAATAAGAAATGTTGGAAGAGAAGAGAGAGAAATGTGGGAGCAGCATTAAGTATGTAGATTTTCTCATCTTCCTCATCTTACATAGTAAGGTCAAAAGACAAAATCAGTAAATCAAATAACAGAGGAACAAGTACAGTTTTTAAAGTATTAGAAAAATAAAAAGGATGGAAGAAGAAATATATTTGTCAGCCAGGCACGGTGGCTCATGCCTATAATACCAGCACTTTGGGAGACTGAAGCAGGTGGATCACCTGAGGTCAGAAGTTCGAGACCAGCCTGCCCAACATGGTGAAATCCCATCTTTACTAAAAATACAAAAAATTCGCTGGGCATGGTGGTGGGCACCTGTAATCCCAGCTACTCAGGAGGCTGAAGCAGGAGAATCATTTGAACCGAGGAGGCAGAGGTTGCAGTGAGCCAAGGTTTGTGCCACTGCACCAGCCTGGGCAACAAGAGCGAAACTCCATCTCAGAAAAAAAAAAAAAAAAAAAAAAAAAAGGAATATATTTGTCATGGCTCATAGGAAGAAGTCAAAGGATATCATAAAAAATATTGGTCGGGTGTGGTGGCTCACACCTGTCATCCAGCACTTTGGGAGGCCAAGGTAGACAGATCACGTGAGGTCAGAAGTTTGAGACCAGCCTGGCCAACATGCTGAAATGCTGTATCTACTAAAAATACAAAAATAAGCCAGGCATGGTGGCAGGCACCTGTAATCCCAGGTACTCGGGAGGCTGAGACAGGAGAATCACTGGAACCTGGAAGGCAGAAGTTGCAGTGAGCTGAGATTATGCCACCGAACTCCAGCGTGCGTGACAAGAGCGAAACTCCGTCTCAGGAAAAAAAAAAAAAAAAAAAAGTATATATACAGACACAACCTTAACCATGTGATCAAACTTGGCATGACCAATAATGAGACAATCCGATATTATATGCCTCTTGACTGATGGAATAAGAAGGATGTATGATGCATTCCTACCAGGACATCTAACTGCATTCAGTCGTGAGGAAACAGATAAATCCAAATGTTGAAACATTTTACAAGACCTCAATTTTTCATAAAAATAAAATAAGATGGGGAGACAGGTGTAGACTTCATTATTGAGACAACTGGGAAAATTTAAATATGGAATCCAAATTGGATAGTATATCAATGTTGAAGCACTGGGATGTGACATGGGCATTGTGGCTAAGAAAATGTCCTTGTTTTTAAGTAATACAGGCTAAAATAGTTAGAGACAAAGAATCACGATTTTTACAAATTATTTTCAAATATTCCCTGTCCAAAATACACATGTAGATAGAGGTAGAAATAAAGCAAATGTAGTAAAATATTAATAATTGGTGAGGGCTGGGCAGGGTGGCTCATGCCTATAATTCCAGTGCTTTGGGAAGCTGAGGCAGAAGGATCACTTGAGCCTAGCCTGGGCAACATAGCAATAACCCATCTCTACAAATATAAAAATAAATCCACTGCTGGCTGGATGTGGTGGCTGATGCCTGTAATCCCAGCACTTTCGGAGGCCAAGGTGGGTGGATCACTTGAGGTCAGCAGTTCGAGACCACCTGCCCAACATGGTGAAACCCCATCTCTACTAAAAATGCAAAAACATAAGCCAAGAGTGGTGGTGCATGCCTGTAATCCCAGCTACTTGGGAGGCTGAGGCAGGAGAATCACTTGAATCTGGGAGGCGGAGGTTGCAGTGAGCCGAGATCAAGCCACTGCACTCCAGCCTGGAAGACAGAGTGAAAAACAAAAAATATATAAATAAATAAATAAGCTGGGCATGGTGGCACACACCTGTAGTCCTACAGTTGGTGCCAAAAGATGGCTTGAGTCCAGGAGTTTGAGGCTGCAGTGAGCTATGATAGCACCACTGCATTCCAGCCTGGATGACAGAGCAACACTGTTTCTTTAACAAAAAAAAAAAAAAAAAAAAAGCAATTAATTTTAAAAAACAATGAAAACAATTCATGAATCTAGTTGAAGGAAATGCAGATGTTCATTGTATAATTCTTTCGACTTTTCTATAGGATTAAAATCTTAAATGAAAAGTTGACAGACAAAATAAATATACATTTTATGTTATAGTTAAAAGCCAATCCACAAGATAAAAACACAAAGCTTTGCAAATTATCAGAGGACACCAACAAAAGTGAAACCATAATGGATCATACAGTACACTATTTTAAAAGGCAAAAAAAGGTCACATAAATTCTAGCAGATCTTTTGATAACAGCACTTAAACCAAACATAGATCATATCAATTTTTGAAAACAAGCTCACCTATTAAAGTGCAACCTCCAGAATAAATAACAAAGAAAATCCAAGTATGTGCTACATATAAAAATCTAAGAAAAGATTTTCTGATATCGGAATTAAAATTAAGTTAAATTTTAATTTAACTAAAAAATTTTTTTCTTCTTTTTCTTTTTGTTCTTTGAGGTGAGGTCTGTCACTCAGGCTGGAGTACAATGGCATGATCTTGGCTCACTGCAGCCTCTATCTCCCAAAAAAAAGCAAACCTCTCGTCTCCCCCTCCCAAGTATCTGGGATTAAAGGCTTGCATCACCATGCTGGGCTAATTTTTTGTATTTTTTTTTTTTTCTAGAAATGGGGTCTCCTTATGTTGCCCAACCTGGCTTCAAACTCCTGGGCTCAAGTGATCCTCCTGCCTTGGTCTCCCAAAGTGTTGAGATTATAGGCATGGGCCACTGCACCTGGCTAAAATGTTTTAAAAAGATGTAACTAATATAAAATGATTCAGAAGGATTGAAAATAAAAGAGTAGACAAAGGAATACCAAGTATAAGTAATACTATAAATAATACCAAACAAATACAATAAGAAAGCTGCATTCGTGATTATAATACCAGACAAGAAGTGTACTTCGAGATGATAAAAACTATAATTCATAATGCAGATCTAGTACTAATAAATCCTATTCAAACATCCTAACATTCAGAAGCAAAAACACAGAAAATCTGAGACGAAACTGAAATACATTAGTGGGAACCTTTCTCAGTTCTACACAGAGTAAATGAACGGCCACACACACACCCCAAAAAAAGGAAAAGACTTAATTAAAAATATCTAGTCAATATGTGGGAATCTTACTATAAAACAGAAATTACATCTTCTTTTAAAACTCCCACAGAAAATTTAAAATTGTAATCTTATATTAGGCAGCTAAGAAAATCTCAATAAATCCACAAAAAACTAGAGGTCAGTAATAAAATTAAAAAATAATAATCCCTACCTGCTGGGGGAAATTTTAAATCTCTCTCAAATGATTTTGGGGTCAAAGAGTAAATCACGGTGGCTCAAGCCTATAATCCCAGCACTCTGGGAGGCCGAGGTGGGTGGATCACGAGGTCAAGAGATCGAGACCATCCTGGTCAACATGGTGAAACCCCGTCTCTACTAAAAATACAAAAAATTAGCTGGGCGTGGTGGTGCGTGCCTGTAATCCCAGCTACTCAGGAGGCCGAGGCAGGAGAATTGCCTGAACCCAGGAGGCGGAGGTTGCGGTGAGCCGAGATCGCGCCATTGCACACTCCAGCCTGGGTAACATGAGTGAAACTCCGTCTCAAAAAAAAAAAAAAAAAAGAGTAAATCAAACCTAAAATTTCAAAGTATTCAGAAAACAATGAAAATATGACATATCAGAACTTATGTCAGAATTTATATCAGCTAAAGTCGCTCTCAGAAGAAATTTCAAAGGCTGTTATTTATATGAATGATCAAGAAAGAATAAAAAGAAATACATTAAGCATCTATATCTAATAACTCAAGAAATTAAAAGAACTAGTAAATTAAGAGTTGGTTTTGGGGGAGAAAGTAGAATAACCTATAATGAATCAAGAAATAAGGGAGAACAGACACAAAATAAGAAATGAAAATGGAACTCTAATGACAGATGCAGAACAAATCAAAAAACAAAAATGCTTTCCTCAATTTTAATAAATTTGAAGGCCCGGAGGAAGTAGACAATTTTCCAGGAACATGTAAATTATCAAAAATGCCTCCAGAAGAATTTGTAACCTGACGGAGAAATTACCTTTAAGAAAAATAAACTCAGCTGGGCTCAGTGGCTCATAACTGTAGCACTTTGAGAGGCTGAGGAAGTCAGATCACCTGAGGTCAGGACTTTGAGATCAGCCTGGCCAACAAGGTGAAATCTCATCTCCACTAAAAATACAAAAAGTAGCCATACATGGTGGTGGTGCCTGCTACTCGGAAAGCTGAGGCATGAAAACCACTTGAACCCGGGAGGTGGAGGTGGAGGATGCAGTGAGTTGAAATAGTGCCACTGTACTCCAGCATGACAGAGGGAGAGTGTCTCAAAAAAAAAAAAAAGGAAAGAAAAAGAAACTCCAACCCATTTAAACTGGTCCAGAGGCAAATTCTGGGAAGACAGCTATATAGTTGTTGTTGCTGTTTTTGAGATAGGGTTTCACTCTGTTGCCCAGGCTGGAGTGCAGTGGTACCATCACCATTCACTGCAGCTTCAGTCTTTCAGGCTCAGGTTGGTTTTGAACTCCTGGCCTCAATCAATCCTCCCACCTCAGCCTCCCAAAGTGCTGGGACTACAGACATGAGCTACTATGCTCAGTCACCACGTAGACTTTTTTTTTTTTTTTTAGATGGAGTCTCACTCTGTTGCCAGGCTGGAGTACCGTGGCATGATCTCAGCTCACTGCAAGCTCTGCCTCCTGGGTTCAAGGGATTCTCCTGTCTCAGCCTCCCGAGTAGCTAGGACTATAGGCACACACCACCACACCCAGCTAATTTTTGTATTTTTAGTAGAGACAGGGTTTCACCATGTTGGCCAGGAAGGTCTCGATCTCTTGACCTCATGATCTGCCTGCCTTGGCCTCCCAAAAGCGCTGGGTTTACAGGCATGAGCCACCACACCACCACACAGATTTTTAATCTTCATTTCTCCATATAAAAACAGAGCAACTAAATGGCAAAACCATAAACTCATGGAAAACATTTACAAGTGATAATACATCCCTAGGAACCCCAACATTCAAGAAGGTGGGAGCAAACTACCAAAAGCTTTTTTTTTTTTTTTTTTTTTGAGATGGAGTCTTGCTCTGTTGCCCAGGCTAGAGTACAGTGGGGTGATCTTGTCTCCTGCAACCTCTGTTCCTGGATTCAAGCAATTCTGCCGTAGTCTCCTAAGCATCTGGGATTACAGGTGCCTGCCACTGCACCCAGCTAATTTTTGTATTACTAAGACAGGATTTCACTATCTTGGTCAGGCTGGTCTCAACTCCTGACTTCGTGATCCACCTGCCTTGGCCTCCCCAAAGTGCTGGGATTACAGGCGTAAGCCACCGTGCCCCACCAAACTACCAAAAGCTTAAGACATGTATGGCATCAGCATTATCAATATTTATGTGGATGGGTCAAAAGAAAGTAATGGAAATGAGAACAAAAAAAAAAATTCTAAGTAGTCAACAGATTACTCACTGGAAAGCACAGTGGGGTCAACTTCAGAACTGCAGCTAAAGCTGTGAGGGATTTTCTCCAAACCAATACTGAATACAAGGTGAGTGCAAGGAACCCACAGTCGGATGTGAAGGAGCCCACAGTTGAGCCTCTGTGAACTCTGAAAATGGACCAGCCAGGACTCGCTTGCAGGACAAGAGTCAGCCGTGATAAAATTAAAAAAAAAAAAAAACTGGCCAAGAGCATTGGCTCAAGCCTGTAATCCCAGCACTTTGGGAGGTCAAGGTGGGCAGATCACTTGATGTCAGGAGTTTGATACTAACCTGACCAACATGGTGAAACCCCAACTCCACTAAAAACACAAAAATTAGCCAGGCATGTGCCTGTAATCCCAGCTACTCGGGAGGCTGAGGCAGGAGAATCACCTGAACCTGGGAGGCAGAGGCTGCCATGAACCAAGATCGCGCCACTGCACTCCTGCCTGGGTGACAGAGTGAGACTCTGTCTCAAAACAAAACAAAAAACCCTCAGGTTGAAATTAAAATCAAGCAAGAAAGGAACTAAAGATACAAAACAGAGATGGTCCAAATAAAATGAGAGAGGGGAGCAGAATAAGAAATCTCAGACAGCCAGGTGCATTTTTTTTGTTTGTTTTTTCTTCAGAGTTGGGTTGCCCTGTTGCCCAGGTTGGTCTAGAACTCTTGACCTCAAACGATCCTCCTGCCTCAGCCTCCCAAGTAACTGAGATTATAGGTGCAAGCCACCAAACCTGGTGTGCCATGTTTTTAAATGTTAACTGAAAAGGAGAAACTGTGAAAAAAGAAAAGCTATTCTGAGCCAAACCTTCTTTTAAAAGTTCCGAGAAACTAATTTCACACATATATGAGCAACAGGAAAGTATCAAGGTCAGAATCCCATAAAAAAAACTTTTCTAAAAAAGAAAAAAGAGAGAGAGAATAAAAGACATTAATGTCACGAGATGTGAAAGAACATAAAACAGAAACAGAATAACTAAGAAATAAGGTGACAGAATTCAGAAAAGAATTAGAAATACAGAGGAAATTAATTCCTGAAATTAAAAGGAACCTAAGATCAGCCAAGTAATCACAGAAAATAATGTTTTAAGAGAAACATAAGGTAAAATGGAGAAATAATGTTAAAATAAAAAAGAAATGAAGAGATAAAAATGATTCAAGAAAAAGTCACACAAGGCAGACAGATCATTTGAGGTCAGGGGTTTGAGACCAGCCTGGCCAACATGGTGAAACGCCATCTCTACTAAAAACACAAAAATTAGTTGGGCATGATGGCGGGTACCTGTAATCCCAGCTACTCATGAGGCTGAGGCAGAAGAATTGCTTGAACCAGGAGGTGGAGGCTGCAGTGAGCCAAGATTGTGCTACCGCACTACTGCCTGGGTGACAGAGCAAGACACTGTCTCAGAAAGAAAGAGAGAAACAAAGGGGAGGGGAAGGAGAGGGGAGGGGAGGGGAGGCGAGGGGAGGGGGGAAAAGTGACAAATAATAAAGATGGGCAAAGAAGAGCCAATCTATAGATAATAGGAGTCCCTACAGAAGAAAAGCAAAGCAAGGGAACAGATCAAACACTAAAAACATTTGAAACTACCTATTGAAAGAATACAATATAAACATGAAAATGTCAAGCAAAAATGAGTAACTTTTAAGATACAATCTAGTAAAATCACTGGTATGTAAAGAAAAAATCCTTTTGGCACCTAAACAAAAACAGCAAAGTACTTATAGCTTTTTTTTTTTTTTTTTTTTTTTTTTTTTTTTTTTTTTTTGGAGACAGAGTTTCTCTCTGTCTCTCAGGCTGGAGTGCAGTGGCGCAATCTCAGCTCACTACAACCTCCACCACTCCTGCATTCAAATGATTCTCCTGCCTGACCCTCCTGAGTACCTGGGATTACAGGTGCCCACCACCACACCCAATTAATTTTTGTATTTTTATTAGAGATGGGGTTTTACCATGTTGGCTAAGCTGGTCTCGAACTCCTGACCTCAAGTGATCAACCCGCCTCAGCCTCCCAAAGGGTTGGGATTACAGGCGTGAGCCACCATGCCCAGCCAATATTAGTTTTTCAACAGCAACACTTTATGCCAAAAGAAAATGGAGAATCATATTCAAGATACTTAAGGAAATAAAATGAGTCAAGGATTTCATACCTGGTAAAACTGACTTTCAAGTGTAAAGGGGGTACACAAGCTTATCAAACACATAAGATGTTTACATTAAAAAATAAGGTAAAAATAATTTTTTCTTGTAATGTTAAATTTCCCCCTGTAGGGGAAAGAATAAAATGGAAGAATAAACATGCTTTTAAAACTAAAAGGAAAGAAAAGAAAGAAATGCTATGAAAGAATATATAAAACACTAAAATAGCATCAACCTATTTGAAGAAAAAGTCAAGCCCTGAATTAATCCATATGGAAGCGGGAGGTAAGTGATTGCTGAGGAAAATACTGACGTTTAGGGTCTACTCTTCACCTGATTGTTCTCAATATAAACAGAGTTTTGTTCACGATAAATATTCTCAATATAAACAGAGTTTTGTTCACGATAAATATTTGACCTTTTATTGTATAAATTTAATTTGGGCGGTTTTCATGGGTTGTATAATGCTGGGTGCCTTGGATGCTACTGTCTGTCAGGTGACTTGCTCCTATGAGCTGAGTTCTCACGTCTGTCTACAATAGCTAGCTCTCTCTTTCCTGTCAGCTCTCACTTGGCCTGACGTCTAGCTGCCTGCCTCTGTGATCCTCCCCACATTGTGCAATCTGTTTAGGGATGGGAAACAAGAGAGCCAACTTTGTCAGAAACCTGTGAAATGCACTACTGAGTAAAACAAGTAAGGATCTCTATACTAAAGTGCAAACTGCAGGCTTGACAGCTCTGGGACTGTCTGTCTTCTATGAAAGGGTAAAGCTGCTAGAAGTTTGTTTTTCTTAAGTGTTAAAATAGTTTCCAGATTAGGTCTAAATTACAAATCGTGGTCACCTGCAATACATGTTTATGAACACTAAATCCCAAAAGATAAAATTACTCATAAAGGAGAGTAACTACAATGAGAGCATGTGAGTTTTTCCTTAAACTAAAAGAATTTTTAATATCCCCTTAAATCATACATCTTATACTACATGTTATCATTGCTATGAATTTATCTAATATTATTCTTACCGAGAGTATCTTTAATGAGGATTTCAAGCTTCTGCCCCATGTTGGGTCCTCTCTCCTCTCTTGGATTCTGTACCCGATTTACAATCTCTTGCTTGATGGAGTTGATTACAAACAATAAATTATCTGAAAGACAGAACAAAACACTTGGAACATGTCACTACCATGAAAGGCTTTCCTTTTAATTATGTACAACAGAAGAAATGGAGAATGTGTAAGAAAACATTAAGAAGTAATTATTATAAGCAGCTCCTAACCAAAGAGACTAATTTCAAATGATGTGGCACTTGTTTTTAAAAAAATATCTCAAGATTCGCCAGGTGCAGTGGCTCACACCTGTAATCCCAGCATTTTGGAAGGCCAACACAGGGAGATTGCTTGAGGTCAGGAGTTTAAGACCAGCCTGGCCCAATGGTGAAATCCTGTCTCTAATAAAAATACAAAAATTAGCCAGATGTGGTGGCATGTGCCTGGTAAACCCAGCTACTCGGGAGACTGAGGCAGGAGAATCACTTGAACCCAGGAGGTAAGTGTAAGCTTCAGTGAGCCAAGATCATGCCACTGCACTCCAGCCTGGGTGGCAGAGCAAGACTTCGTCTCAAACAACAAAACAACAACAACAAAACCCTCAAGATTACTGGGTTTGCATTCTTGATAACACACTGTAGCCAGGTGTGGTGGTGTGCAGCTGCAGTCCCAGCTACTTGGGACGCTGAGGCAGGGGAATCACTTTAGCCCAGGAGTTGCAGGTAGTAGTGCACTAGGATGGTGACTGTGAACAGCCACTGTGCTCCAGCTTAGGCACCACAGTGAGATCCCATCTCCAACAGAAAAAAATGGCAATGAAAAAAGACAACACACTGTAGACATGCATCAACGTCCACTATCCTGTAAGCAACTTGCCCTACCACCTGTCTTCATTGCTTTAAGACCTGATAGTGACGGCTATATCGAATCATAGGACCTTAGTAAATGTTTGTTAAATAAATCAAACCAAGTCCCTTAAAAACAAAAGCTTTAAAAACAAATTTTCCCACCTTAAAAACCTTTAAAACAAACAAAACAAAAAGCAAGTTAACCCAAAGTAAGTAAAGGAGGGAACTAATAAAGAGCAGAAATTTATGTAATAGAAAACAAATACACAATAAAAATTAACAAAGCCAAAAGCTGGTTCTTTGAAATGATCTACAACACTGATAACCCCTCACCCAGGTAGCTCCATCATGAAAAGTAAATGATAACACCAATCACTCACATCTGTAACGAAAAAGGTGTTATCGCTTTAGAATCTACAGATATTAAAAAGATAATAAGAAAATATGGTGCTAACAAATTTAACAACTTAGATGAAATGAACAAATTTCTTGAAAACACTATTTAAAATCCATAGACGAAGAAGCCAGGAAAGCCAGGTGTGATGGCTCATGCTTATAATACCAGCACTTTGGGAGGCCAAGGTGGGTGAATCGTCTGAGGTCAGGAGTTCAAAGCCAACATGGTGAAAGCCCATCTCCAATAAAAATAAAAAATACAAAATACAAAAATTAGCTGGGCATGGTGGCAGGTGCCTGTAATCCCAGCTACTCAAGAGGCTGAGGCAGGAAAATTGCTTGAACTCAGGAGGCAGAGGTTACAGTAAGCCAAGATTGCGCCACTACACTCCAGCCTGGGCAACACAGCAAGATTTCATCTCAAAAAAAAAAAAAAAAGAAAGAAAGAAAAGGCTAGGTGCAGTGGTTCACATTTGTAATCCCAGCACTTTGGGAGGCCAAGGCGGGCAGATCACTTGAGGCCAGGAGTTCCAGACCAGCCTTGCCAACACAGTGAAAATCCCATCTGTACTCAAAATAAAAATAATTAGCCAGGCATGGTGGTGCACACCTGTAATCCCAGCTACTCAGGAGGCTGAAGCATGACAATTGCTTGAACCCAGGAGGCAGAGGTTGCAGTGAGCTGAGATCGTGCCGCTGCACTCCAGCCTGGGCAGAGTGATAAACTGTCTTAAAAACAGAAACAAAAACAAAAAAAACCCATACATGAAGAAATAAAGCATCTGAAGAGTTTTTCCTAGTAAAAGAAATGAAATTACCATATGTCTTCCCAAAAGAGAACCAGAAAATTTTAATAGCAAATTCTATCATAAATACAATGAAGAAATAAAATTGATCTAATAAAACCCTGTCAAAGATCATGGTCCAATTAATTCTATGAGGCCAGTATAGCCCTAGTACTGAAACGTTACAAAAAAAAAGAAAAATCATAGATGAATGTCCCTCTTGAATGTTGACACAAAATCCTTAACAAAACACTAACAACGAAATGCAACATACAATATTATGATAGAATAATACGAAATATTAGCAATAGACTCCAATATAAAAAGGAAAATGTAGCTAACCAAGTAGAGTTTATTCCAAGAATGCAGGGTTGGCTTAACATCCAAATATTAGCACATGTAATTTGCCACTTTAACAGGTGAATATGTGATGTATTAACAGAATAAACAAGAACAATATATGATTGTTCCAACAGATGCAAAAAAATTATCAACACCCATTCATAATAAAAGAAACTAGGAACAGAAGGGAACTTTCTCAAAATGATAAAGGACAACTCATCTACAAAAAAGTACAACACAAACATTATACCTAAAGATAAAAGGTTCCCCCTGAGATTTTAAACAAGGCAATCACCACTGTATTTAATATTCTGGCTGTTCTAGACATTTTGATAAGACAGAAAAAGAAAAGGCATAAAGATCAGAAAGGAAGAAATAAAACCATTCCTATTTGCAGATGATAACTGTGTCAGCAGAAAATCCCAGGGAATCTACATACCAACTGCTGGAACTAAGAGTAATATATAAAGCAAAAATATGTTTTATGTATTAATACCAAAGAACTCAAAAATAAAATTTCGCCGGGCGTGGTGGCTCACGCCTATAATCCAAGCACTTTGGAGGCCAAGGCGGGCGGATCACCTGAGGTCAGGAGTTCAAGACCAGCCTGACCAACATGGTGAAACCCTGTCTTTTAAAAAAAAAAAAAGTTTTTTATTAAAAAAAAAAATAAAATTTCAAAAACAATTCCATTTACAGAAGCACTAAAAATATAAAACACTCAGGATTACATCTAATAAATATGTTTAAGCACTCTACACTGAACACTGTAAAAGATGGCAGAGAGAAACTAAAGAAGACTTAGCTAGGTGGAAAGAGATACCAGGTCCATGGATCAGAAAACTCCATTTTAAGATAGTAATTCTCTCCAAATGGATCTAAAGATTCAAAGCAATCCCAATCAAAATTCCAGTAAGCTTTTCTATAAAAGGTGATAAAGTAATTTGAAAATGTATACAGACATGCAAAAGACCTGTAATAGCCAAAACATTTAAACAAAAAGCAAAATTGGAGGAATAACAAGAACTAGCACTACCTGACTTAAAAGGTTTACAGTAATCAAGACAGTTTTGCACAGTGATCAAGACAGTTTTGTATTCACATGGCCAGATGCAGTGGCTCATGACTGTAATCCCAGCTCTTTGGAGGCTGAGATGGGAGCATCGCTTGAGCTGAGGAGTTCGAGACCAACCTGGGGAAGAGAGCAAGACCCTGTCTCTATTTTTTTTAATCTTTTTTTCCTTTTTAAAAATAATTTAAGTAGAGATGAGGTCTCACTATATTGGCCAGGTTGGTCTTGAACTTGTGGCCTTAAGCAATCCTCCCAATTGACCTCCCAAAGTGCTAGGATTACAGGCATGAGTCACCATGCCCAGTCCCGTCTCTATTTAAAAAAAAGAAGTTTTATATCCACATAAAGGAAGATAAATGTATCAATGAAGCAGAATACAACATCTAGAAGTAAACCCATAAATATATGGTCTATTGACTGAACAAAAGTGCAAAAACAATTCAATAGGGAAAGGAAAGCCTTTTCAATGTATGGTGCTTGATTAACTAGATATTTATATGGAAAAAAATGAACATCATCTTTTACCTTATACCATATGCAAAAATTGACCTAAAATAGATCATAAGCCTAAATGCAAAACCTAAAACTGTAAATTCTAAGAAAAAAATACAAGAAAATATTTGTAAATGTTGGAGTTGGCAAAGGTTTCTTACAACACAAAAAATCATGAAATATAAAAAAAAAATGGACAAATTGATTCATCAAAATTAAAAATGTTTGATCTTTGAAAGATGTCAATGAGGGCCGGGCATGGTGGCTCACATCTATAATCCCACTCAGCACTTTGGGAGGCCAAGGTGGGTGGATCTCTTGAGGCCAGAAGTTCGAAACCAGCCTAGACTACATGGTGTAACTCTGTCTCTACTGAAAATGCAAAATTCAGCCAGGCATGGTGTGCATGCCTGTAATCCCAGCCACTTGGGAGGCTGAGGCATGAACCGGGAGCAGAGGTTGCAGAGAGCTGAGATCATTCCACTGGACTCCAGCCTGGGCTGCTAAGCGAGACTCTGTGTCAAAAAAAAAAAAAAAAAAAAGAAAAGAAAGAAGGGAGGAAGGGAGGGAAAGGAGAGAAAGAGAGGGGAGAGGAGAGAGGGGGGAGAACAATGAGGAAAACAAAAAGCCAAGCCAAAGAACTTATATCCAGAATAAAGAATATTTATTTATTTACTTACCTACCTTTTTTTTTTTTTTTTTTTTTTTTAAAGACAGAGTTTCGCTCTTGTTGCCTAGGTGGCACAATCTTGGGTCACTGCAACCCCCGCCTCCTGGGTTCAAGTGATTCGCCTGCCTCAGCCTCCCAAGTAGCTGGGATTACAGCTCCTACCACCAAGCCCGGCTAATTTTTAGTAGAAATGGGGTTTCGCCATGTTAGTCAGGCTGGTTTTGAACTCCTGACCTCCAGTCTCAGTCTCCCAAAGTGCTGGGACTGTAAGTAGGAGCCACAGCACCCAGTCCAGAATAAAGAACCTTTAGAAAAGAAACCAATCTTTTTAAATGGCAAAATATTTGAACAGACGCTTCAGAAAACATATGAATAGTCAATAAGCACAGGAAAGAGGCTCAGTGTTATTAATCAGAGAAACAAAAATACCACAATGAAATACCACCACACACCCATTAGATTTGTAAAAATATGAAGATGGGCGCTGCCATGTGTTGGCAAGGCTGAGGACCAACTAGAACTCTCCTACGCTGTTTTTAAGAATGTAAAATGGTACAGTCAGTTTGAAAAACAGTTTAGTTGTTTCTTATAAAATTAAATAAAGACTTAAGAATCAGTCATTCTACATCTAGGTATTTAACCAACAGAAAACATATGTCTACCCAAATACTTCTACACAAATACTCATAGCCCCTTTGTTATAGCCAAAAACTTGAAACAACCTAAGTATCCATCAACAGGTGAAGAGATAAACAAATTGTAGTATATACGTACAATGGAATACTAGTTAGCAATAAAAAGGATCTAACTACTGATACAGGTAACAACATGGAGGAATTTTTAAATAATTATACCGAGTGAAAGTAGCCAGGCAAAAATGTAAACATATTGTATGATTCCATTAATGAAAGATCTTAGAAAATGTAAATTGGTCTATCGTGACAAAAAGCAGACTGTGGCTACCCAGGGATAGGAGTAGAAAGCGGAATGACAGAAAGGGGAACTAGGAATCTTTCGGAAGAAATGGAAATATTCATTATCTTGATTGTTTCATATATGTATGCATATATGTAAACTAATTGAATATCTATAGAGATACTGTACTTCAATTACACCTCAGTAAAACTGTGAGGAAAACACAGTTTTTATTTCAGCACACAGGATTCCTGTGGTCTGAAATTAATCTCTACCTCTTCAGAGACTGCCTTGGTGATCTGGGGGTTTTGTTCTGTTTTTAAAGAGATGGGGTATTTCTCTATCATCCAGAACAATCCTCCCACCTCAGACTCCTGAGTAGCTGGGATTACAGAAGTGTGTCACAACACCTGGTATAGAAACCAGTGATTTGTTATTCTTCATCTAGCAATACTAAGAAGGGGCCAATCTAAATTGCAGTTGAAGAGGAAAGTGAGAAATAATGGGGGAGAGGGACAATTTAAAAACTACATTCAGGGCCAATATATGTAAAATGTGTCATTGAACAAGGAAAGTACAGCTAACTCCCTAAATCACTTGCAACAAAAATCTGTTTCTTCTCCATGAATAATTGAAAGCGAATACTACTTACTCAAGGATATTTGCACAATAGGGTTCTCCCATACTCAACAGGTTAAAAGTAAATAAACTACGTGGGCGAAGTATATGAACAGACACTTTTCAAAAGAAGACATATATGCAGCCAACAAACATATGAAAAATGCTAATCATCAATGGTCATTAGAGAAATGCAAATCAAAACCGCATTGAGATACCATCTCATGTCAGTCAGAATGACGATCATTAAAAAATCTGGAGACAAAATGCTGGAGAGGATGTGGAGAAATAGGAACACTTTTACACGTTGGTGGGAGTATAAATTAGTTCAACCATTGTGGAAGACAGTGTGGTGATTCCTCAAGGATCTAGAAATAAAAATTCCATTTGACCCAGCAATCCCATTACTGGGTATATACCTAAAGGAGTATAAATCGTTCTAATATAAAGACACATGCACATGTATGTTCATTGTGGCGCTGTTTACGATAGCAAAGACTTTGAACCAACCCAAATGCCCATCAATGATAGGCTGGACAAGGAAAATGTGGCACATATACACCATGGAATACTATGCAGCCATAAAAAAAGATGAGTTAAGTGTCCTTTGAAGAGACATGGATGAATCTAGAAATCATCATTCTCAGCAAACTGACACAAGAACAGAAAACCAAACACCGAATGTTCTCACTCACAGGCAGGTGATGAACAATGAGAACACCTGGGCACAGGGAAGAGAACAACACTCACTGGGCTAGGTAGAAGGGTGAAGGGGAGGGGAGGGACAGCAAAGATGGGAAGGGCTAACTCCAGGAGAAATGCCTGATGTAGGCGACGACCGGGGCAGAGGGATGGAGTCAGCAAACCACCACGGCATGTATGTACCTATGCAACAATCCTGCAGGATGCAGGATATGCACATGTACCCCAGAGCCCAAAGTATAATATTTTTAAAAAAGAAAAAACACTATAAAATCTAAAGTAAAACAGCAGAATAGTTCTCAAGACTTGACAGTGTCCAAGCACACTATGGGGCAGGGAGAGAAAAGGGAAAGGGCTCTCATGCTACCACAAACCTCTGGTTTAGGAAATAGAAGCACTTGGCTCTCAGAAATTGAGTCCAAACATTCAACTCACAAACAGATCCTCCTCCTCTGATGTCATATTCATGAAGGAATTTTCTGGTTTTAATTTTTCCATATAGCCTTCTTAGGGACAAAATACCATCAGTCAGGGTGAAGGGCTAAGAGTTCTATTTCTCATTCTGAGTCAACAAGTTCCCACGGGATTCACAGAGCAGTCTCCAGTGAGCTTTGGCAGTAGGAATCAATAGAAGAAGGAAGTTTGGTGGGATAGGATGAGATGAGTAGTACAGTGGGCCCCTGAAGCTAGTCCCTGCAACCACACCAGTTCATGACATATTAAAACTGATAAAGACAACAGAGTACATTTTTCATAAAGCTAAATTTATCTTCTATTATGAGATTATGACCTTCTCAATTTTTTAAATACTAAAATATTTTTCCTCATATGAAATTATAGTAATACTAGATGATGTTCTTTTTAATGTTCTCAACTGGCAAAATATAAAGTTGGTAAGCCCATGTTCTCAAGTCTCAAAATCTTTTTCAAATTGTAAATCACAAATTCTAGAAACCATTGGGCTGATGGATAATGTATAGTAAGTGTTCCACAAAGAAGTAACAGAGTGGCTTCCAGATATCTAGGAGGCCAGGGCACCACTAACTGAGCTCAAGGTCAAAATGTTTCAAAAGCAAGAAAGAATAATAGGAAAAAGGACAGCTTTGCATTTGAACACACCAACAATTATTTTTATCTAATTCATTTACTGAGTGGCTGCTAATAAATAAAACATGAGTTCATTTCACTCATAAACTTTACAGTTGTAAACTTTACAGTTAAAAAATTCTTTTTCTCCTCTCACCAAAGGAAATAAAATAATAAAGGATTTAGAAAAACTGCACAGTTTATTAAGTACCTATGTGCAAGACATGCTAAACTCAAGAAAACCTCTGGGAACAAATAACTGATCATTTTTCACACTGTTTCACTTTCAGATTCAATTTACCCAAGAACTACATATTGAAGAGGACAATTTTTGAGGCAAATGAATACACTAACTCTTATATTACCAGGCTTAAACAAAGTAAGAGAGAAAAGATGTGTTCTTATCACAGAAAATCAAAATCAGAGCTTCCCATACCCCTGAAGTGCTGTAAAAGGGTTCCAAATGTGTAAGATAATTATCTCCTCAGCTCATAGCGACCTCCTCCCATGAGCAGTCTACTCTTACTATATTCCATGATGCCTCAAAGATGACAATTTTCTACATGTGCTGCAATGTGAAAAGCCAAGAAGCACTTTGGTTTAGATAAAAACTAATCATTTCCAAATAGGTGCTAGAATGGTTGCATTAAGAATAATCTTGGGGCCAGCCTCAGTGGCTCACACCTGTAATCCCAGCACTTTGGGAGGCCAAGGTGGGTGGATCACTTCAAAATACTGAGGTCAGGAGTTTGAAACCAGCCTGGCCAACATGGTGAAATCTTGTCTCTACTAAAAATACAAAAATTAGCTGGGTGTGGTGCCACAGGACTGTAGTCCCAGCTATTCAGGAGGCTGAGGGAGGAGAATCACTTGAACCTGGGAGGCAGAGGTTGCAGTGAGCCGATATCACACCACTACACTCCAGCCTGGGAGACAGTGCAAGCCTCCGTCTCGCGAAAAAAAAAAAAAAAAAAGATTAATCTTGGCTGGGTACAGTGGCTCATGCCTCTAATCCCAGCACTTTGGGCAGCTGAGGTGGGCGGATTGCTTGAGCCCAAAAATTTGAGACCAGCATGAGCAACACAGTTGAAACCCCATCTCTATAAAAAATGCAAAAAAATCAGCCGGGCATGGTAGCGCACTCCTGTACTCCTAGCTTCCCAAAATGCTGTGATAGGAGGATCACCTGAGCCCGGAAAGTTGAGGCTGCAGTAAGCTGTAATCACACTACTGCACTCTAGCTTGGGCAACAGAGTGAGACCCTGTCTCACACAAACACAAAAAAGAGTAATCTGAGACGTGTTAAAAATATGTATTATTGAGTTCTACTTGTACACAATCTAATTCAGGAGATCTGCAGAGAAGCCTAGAAATGTGTATTTTAACCAAGTACACAGACAATTCCAATGAGCAATCAAATCTGAAAAACAGAGATCTAAATTATTCATATAAAACCTAAAATAGCATTATTCAATTTGGGGGAAATATTAAAATCTGTCAACAAAACTGGCTAACCCAGTAACACAATTATAAAATAGAAGTAAGAAATTACTGTGATCTTTTGAGAAATGCAGGTTGCTTTTGCTGTCTATCCTTATAAAACTTTCCATATCTTTTACAGGGAAAAAAAAAAAAAAAAGAAATTACTGTGGTCACATGTGGATCAGCTTGTTAGTAGACAGATGAGATTTTGATTGGGAGGTCACCAGTACAGAATCTTATACTAAAAGGAGGACAAGAATGAAGGAAAGCGAGCATGTAGCTTACCAAAAAGATAAATATATAGAAGGCTAGCCAAAAACTAGGCAGAATACAGGGAACGCAAATCACAAAACAAAGAAAAGAGAGTGATCAGCAAATCGATAGGTGGTTAATCAACTTCTTAAAACTTTAGGTTTACCATATTCTGTGTTGAGGCCCCATAATTTCACTTTATTAGCTTCATATTGGGCTTTCTTCTTTAACCGACAAGCTCTGTGAAAGGAAGGAGCAATTAGTTCACTTTCTTTTTCTTTAATTTTAATTTTATTATTTTTAATTATGGAGAAGGTGTCTCACTATGTTGCCCAGGCTACTCTTCAACTCCTGGCTTAAGTGACCCTCCCTTTTTGGCCTCCTGAAGTGCTGTGATTATAGGCATGAGGCGCCATGCCCAGTCTGCTTTCCTTTTTAAGTGAATATTTGTCTTTCATTTTCTAACAGCAACCCAAAACCACTGCCTACTGACGTTTATCAAATAACTGAGTTACCAGAAAACACAGCATAATCATTTATGCAAATTGATTTTTAAAAATTTAGCACACATTTAAAAATAAAGCTATGATCAGTACACACCTATTAAAGTGGCTAAAAAACAAAAACAACCAAACAAAAACTGAAAATACCGCAAGTTGTAGAGGATGTAAAGCATGGGAAACCTCACGTTGCTAGTAGGAATGTAAAACAGTACATACAGCTACTTGGAGAATAGTTTGACAGTTTCTTATAAACATATATGCTTGGATACTTATCTAAGAGAAATGGAAACTTATATTCACACAAACATGTTTAACTGAATGTTCATGGTGGTTTTATTCATACTTGCCAAAAACTGGAGGCAACCCAAATCCCCTTCAACTGGTGAATGGATAAATTGTAGTATATCCCCACCAAAGGAATACAACTCAGCAACCAAAACGAAAAAATTATTACTCCAGGCAACAATACGGAAGAATCTCAAATGTGTCATGTTGAGTGAAAGAAGACAGATTCAGTTGGTTGTGGTGGCTCATGCCTGTAATCCCAGCACTCTGGGAGGCTAAGCTGGGTGAATCACTTGAGGTCAGGAGTTTGAGACCAACCTGGGCAATATGATGAAACCCTGTCTCTACAAAAAATACAAAAATTAGCTGGGCGTGGTGGCTCATGTGTATAATCCCAGCTACTTAGGGAACTGAGGTGGGAGGATAGCTTGAGCCTGGCAGGCAGAGGTTGCAGTGAGCTGAGATCAGGCCACTGCCTGGGCGACAGGGTGAGACTCTGTCTCAAAAAAAAAAAGGAAGACAGATTCCATCAAAGGCCACATACATATTCTGTATTCCATCTACATGACATTCTGGAAAAGGCAAAACTATGGAGACAGAAAACAGATCAGTGGTTTTGAGGGGCTTCAGGTGCAGGAAGGTGCTTGCTTTTACAAAGAGGCATAAGGGAACTTTTTAAGATAATGAAATTGTTCAATATCTTGATTGTGGTGGTGGTTATATGATTGGATGTGTTTGTTAAACTCATAAAAGTATATACATTAAAAGGTATACATTTTACTGTAAGTTATAGCTCAATAACTCTGACTTACTAAAAACAAAAAATAAAGCTATGAACTTTTTTTTATTGTTATAACATAATGCACCACAGTCCATTCATCCTTCCCCCTCTGAAAATTTTTTTCCATAAAACATAAATACCATCTATTTTCAAAAGAAAAATTATAATATTCTCATTGTAGTATTTATAAAAGAAAAATATAATTTCTGAATAATGGTTGAAATGTTTGACCTTCTATAAAAACTCACTTAGGGCCTAACCTCACCTCCTAAACTTTCTTCACATAAGTGAACATTATTAGCATTTACCTGGAAGCCAGCTTATTTTTTTCCTTCCTTGACCTTGGCCGGGCTGTTAAGGGAAGCTCACTGACTGGAGTCAGGTCACTAATCACCTTATTCAGCTTTCGAAGTTCATTGCCTATCTGGAGGAGTTTTTTAGGATTTGGAGTCAGGTCTTCTACATCAGTTCTCCGTGACTTCTTTACTGCATATTTTCCTACAAACAGTTTATAAGAAGTTTAAGTTAGATCACTTTAATTAACAAGAGACACATTTTTCACAACCACATTTTTAGCCACTCCCCACCACTACCTTTTCTTTTCAGAAGTCAGCAAGCTTAACAATCTATCCTAGAAGGGCTAGCCTCTTCTCCTTCCCATCTTGTGGCTCAGGAAACAGGGGTGATATGGCAGAGTTCTAACTTTTTCCAAGTTCTTCCGTACCCTAGGCTTCTAGTCCCAGAATGACAGATTCTTAATTATCTGCATGGCATACTAAGCACCTCAAATCAGGATCAGAGTGTAAGTTCAATTAAACACCAAAATCAGGACTAGGGTATAAGATACAGTCAGAAGAGAGTTTAGAGATTTTACCCAAACCAAGATGTTTCTGATGCTATTCCTGAAAATTGTCAGACATACACATTTTTGTACTGAACTCGAAAATCCAACAAGCATAACCTTGTTTAAAAGCTCTTCTTTGGGCCAGGTGCAGTGGCTCACACCTGTAATCTCAACACTTTGGGAGGCCAAGGTGGGTGGATCACCAGAGGTCGGGAGTTTGAGGCCAGCCTGACCAACATGGTGAAACTCCATCTCTACTAAAAATACAAAATTAGCTAAGCATGGTGGCGCACCCCTGTAATCTCAGCTACTCAGGAGGTTGAGGCAGGAGAATCACTTGAACCTGGGAGGCGGAGGTTGTAGTGGGCCATTGCACTCCAGCCTGGGCAACAACAGCAAAACTCCATTTCAAAAAAAAAAAAAAAAAAAAAAAAAGTTCTTCTTTGGTTGCTTTGATAAATAACATTATAGAAGACCCAAGGGGTCTTGGTCTATCATTCCAGGCAAAAGGGATGGCTCTGTCCTCTAAACTCCTATAACTTTTCTAGTACCCATCATATGCTACTTGGAATTATTGACTGGACTTAATGTTTCATTTCCAGTAGAAAACTTATCTGAGGGTAAAAACTTGGTAATTATTTACTGAGAGACAATATAGTACACCTGGATGCTAGTGGAAAGGGCAAATGAGGCACAAACATATGTCAGATGGAATTTGTGTCCTCAAAAATTCTTAGCAACTCCCATCTGTATGATGAGTAAACAGCCTGCTTACTGACCATCATGCTTACTAGTAGTTCCCCTCTCCACTTTTTTCAGTAGACTCTGGATTTTTTTTTTTTTTAACTCAGAGCAGAAGAACTAGAAATTTTATATTTAAAAATAACATTTGTGCAGAATAAATTCTACTTAATGACAGCTTCCTGAGTTCACAATTCAAAATTTGACCTACCTAAGATGGTCACTTTTAAAAATTTTTTAGAGACACGGTCTCACTCTATCGCCCAGGTGGAGAGCAGTGGCACAATCACAATTCATTGCAGGCTTGAATTCCTGGATTCAAGGGATTCTTCCATCTCAGCCTCCCAAAGTGCTGGGATTACAAGCATGAGTCACAGCACATGGCCTGAACTACTTTATAAAATTCCTCTGATTCCTCCTCTAGGTATTCAACTCTTCTCTACTACTCCTTTTCTCTATAACCACCCTTCCTTTCTTTTCTTTCCTTACCCTTTTATCCCCACTACCATTTGAATTCCAGTCCCCCCAATTACATTCAGATCTGGGGATTAGATAAGAATTCAAGAGAACCTGTTCACTTTCTCCTCAACCCTTCTGGTTATAGCAACTGTGACAGATCAGAAACCAGCAGTCAGTTCCTGGATGAGGTAAGTAGATTAAGAAGGGACTAGAAATGAAATCATGTTTGCACAGTCCTTCCTCCCTGCTTAGGTGAGGACTCCTAACACTGGTAAAAGCTATTTGTGAGTGATGCAAAGCAGTAAGGCAAATGTAGCAGCTCTACAGTCCCCACCTCCAGTTTGCTAGGAAGAGTTGAATGCCTAGGTACACAGAGTAAGAATTATGGATTAGTATCACAACTTAAGGGACAATAAATATCTGACTGCAATTCCCTCTTACCATGATGTAAGCCATTTTTCTGATACATATTACTTGGCAAGGTATCTCGGTTCCACTCAGATGGTCTCAGCATCCTCTCTTGCTGTGATGGTGTAAGTTGTTCACTATACTCCCAGAAGTATCTTCTTTTACCTCTCTTCCGTGACGATATTGAAGTCATCTCCTTCAAATCTTCTACAGAATCATTTTCATAGCCTTAAAAAAAAAGTTCCCCCAATTTTTAAGCTCCATAAATTTCAATAAGTCAATCAGGACAAACAAAAAGATCCCTTCTATTTGTAACTTGGTATATTTCCTTGCATATGAAAACATCATTGGCATGTCAAAGATAATAAACTAGGTCTGTAAGAGAACTTTTAATATGTAAATCCCTAACTCATAAAACATTCAGAGATTAATAAACATAGGTAACTACACTGTTAATCTTCCCTGGGTTTCTCCTTAATTTTTTATAAATTAGTACATGATACTATTTTTATTACCTTCATACAGGATTAAGAAAACAATTACAGGATAGCTACAGGATTATCAAAAGTACCATCAGATAATAGTACTTAGACACATATATCATGACTTTATTAAATGTCTTCCTTCTAATATTTATGTATCTGAAACATCCCAGACAGAAAGATATGTATATTTTAGTATTTTTTAATTATTTTTTCTTTTTAAAAAAATTTTTGTACGCTGGGAAGAGTGGCTCACACCTATAATCCCAGCATTTTGGGAGGCTCAGATGGATAGATCACTTGAGGTTAGGAATTCAAGACCACCCTGGCCAGCATGGCAAAACCCCATCTCTACTAAAAATACAAAAATTAGCCAGGGCGTGGTGGTGCACGCTGTAATCCCAGCTACTCGGGAGACTGAGGCACAAGAACCACTTGAACCCAGGAGGTGGAAACTGCAGTGAGTTGAGACTGTGCCATAGCACTCCAGTCTAAGCAATAGAATGGGACTCTGTCTCAAAAAAAAAAAAAAGTTATTTTTTAATTTTCTTTTAATTATTTATTTATTTTAAGCAAGATCTCACTATGTTCCCCCAGGCTGGTCTTGAACTCCTAGGTTCATTAGCAGCCCCTCTGGCCTTGGCCTCTGAAAATGTTCGGATTACAAGCATGAGCCACCATGCCTAGCGGTGTACATTTCTATGATAGCGTTCTATTGCGCAGAATTTTATGAGGTTACATTAGTTTTCTTCCTACTTCTCACCCTACTTTTGGAAAAGCATAAAATATGACAGTTCTCACACTGGTTATCAGATAAAAACTTATATGCCTACTCTAGTTAATATTTTATTGAAAGCTATTTGTATTAACTTCATTTTTTTTTTTTTTTTTTTTTGAGACGGAGTTTTGCTCTGTCACCCAGGCTGGAGTGCAATGGCACAATCTTGGCTCACTGCAACCTCCACCTCCCGGGTTCAAGCGATTCTCCTGCCTCAATCTCCCAAATAGCTGGGATTACAGGCGCCTGCCACCACACCTGGCTAATTTTTGTATTTTTAGTAGAGGCAGGGTTTCGCCATGTTGGCCATGCTGGTCTGGAACTCCTGACCTCAGGTGATCCACTAGCCTCAGCCTCCCAAAGTGTTGGGATTACAGGCGTGAGCCACCACGCCCAGCCATTAACTTCACTTTTTAAGAATGGGGGATTCTCCTGACTAATGGGAAGTTTCAGAAAATACTTAATTCTGAGTTGCTAGAACTGTTGGTCAGACCCAATATTGAATGACCCAATATTGAATGAATATGCCATCAGAGAATGGCCACCTCTGATGTAATCCAGGTCATTAATGCTAGGTACATGAGGAAGAGGAAATGGGCTACGCAAAGAATGTACACAATCCAAACCTAAGGTAAGCAGAAAAAATGAGGCAGCATTGGTCCTACGTAAAATGGTCATTCTTCCCTCCTGAAAACATAAGAAGGTGATATGTTTGCTTTGAGGAAAAGTTCAAATTTTGGAATTTTACTAAATTTTCTCCAAACAAAGAATGAATCAGGAGTATGCTTCCATTTATATAATATTCTGGAAAAGGAAAAATTATATGGACACAGTGGTTGCCAGGAGTTGGCAGTGAAGGAAAGGGATGACTATAAAAAAAATATGAGGGGCAGGGTGCAGTGGCTCATGCCTGTTATCCTAACACTTCGGGAGGCCCAGGTGGGTGGATCACCTGAGGTCAGGAACTCAAGACCAGCCTGGCCAACATGGCGAAACCCCATCTCTACTAAAAATACTAAAATTAGCTAGGCATGGTGGCACACACCTGTAATCTCGGCTCCTCAGGAGGCTGAGGCAGGAGATGACTTGAACCTAGGAGGTGGAGTGCAGTGAGATGAGATCATGCCACCGCACTCCAACCTGGGCAACAGGAGCAAGAGTCTGTCTCAAAAAATAAATAAATGAAAAATAAAAAGGCCCTTGTTACACTAGGTAAGCAAAAATTACTGGCTCATGTAGATTACCCTAGTTTGACTGTGAATACCTCCACAGGCAGATGTACTGACCAAAACATTCCCACCTTCCTATCAATGTCAGTAATTGGTGTTCCACACTTAAGCCTACCCTAGCCCAAAGCATAAGGGAAATAATTTTACATATAGCTTCCTCAGCTCTGTGTGTGCGTGTGTGCGTGCGTGCGTGTGTGCGTGTGTTTAACATCCTCCTGGATGCTTTATTTGATATGCTCCCTTAGATAGTAACTACCTTTGCCTCTCCATGGGGACCTGGAACTCTGGCAAAACACTGTCCCTGGTTAGGAAGGAGGTTATGAGCTCCATTTATACACCTAAAATGCTCATGGAGGCTTGACATGATTTGACACAGCTGGGACTGAGTCAGGCCTCACAACTCAAGGGGACTCGTTCCAAGTTGGCTTCCCACTTTTCTTGTGCCTAATTAAATAATCTGAATAGATTTTTTCCTGCACATATTTCTCTCATTTACTTATTTATTTCTTTTTCTTGAGATGCAGTCTCGCCTTGTCGCCCAGGTTGGAGTGCAGTGGCACGATCCTGGCTCACAGCAACCTCCACCTCCCTGGTTCAACAAATTCCCCTGCCTCAGCCTCCCAAGGAGCTGGGATTACAGGCACACACCACCACGCCCAACTAATTTTTTTGGGTTTTTTGTTTGTTTGTTTCTGAGATGGAGTCTGGCTCTGTCACCAGGCTGGAGTGCAGTGGCACGATCTTGGCTCACTGCAACCACCTCCTCCCACGTTTAAGTGATTCCCCTCTCTGGGCCTCCCAAGTAGCTGGGACTACAGGCACATGCCACCACATCTGGCTAATTTTTAAAACATATTTTAGTAGAGACAGGTTGTCACCATGTTGGCCAGGATGGTCTCAATCTCCTGACCTCGTGATCCACCTGCCTTGGCCTCCCAAAGTGCTGGGATTACAGGCATGAGCCACCACACCCAGCCTCCCAGAAGTAGCCATCAGTTTTCTATGACTTAATATAACAACATTTCCTAATAGCATACACCATAAATTCACCATCACAAACACACATATTCTTTCTCTTTCTCTCTCTCTCTCTCCCCCTCCTCCACCGCCCCCAAATTTGTTGCCTAAAGCCATCCACCTTTCTTGAGATGGAGACTTGCTCTGTCACCTAGGTGGGAATGCAGCAGCGTGATCACAACTCACCATAGCCTCGACCTCCTGTGCTCAAGCAATCCTCCCTCCTCACCCTCATGGGTCACCAGGACTACAGGCACATGCCACCACACTGAGAAAATTTTTGTATTTTTTGTAGAGACAGGAGTCTCCCTATGTTGCCCAGAGTGGTCTTGAACTTGGGCTCAAGCGATCCTCCCACTTCAGCCTCCCAAAGTGTTGAGATTACAGGCTTGAACTACCATGTGCAGCTACCATCCACCTTTCAATATAGAGACTACCAATGATCAAAAAGAATGAAAAAAATTATGCCCCTGGATCACTGGTCTTGCACTTGCGGTCATTAAATATTTCTCAAACTAGGTTCTGAAGAACACTATTATCATAAGATATGGCTTTACCCAAAGTGAATTCTGTAGTCAGGTAAGTTTAAGAATCTCTCATCCTGTATACCTGTCTTGCCAAATCACAGCACACAAAGACACATTAAAAGACTCTAAGAAATCATAACAGTAAATAAACTCACTTAACACTGTTCCACGAAGATAAAGATGTCTACTTTTTTCATCTCTGTATAGCCAATACCTAATATATATAATGCCTTCCACAAAAGTAGGTACTCAAAATTTTATCAATGATTTTGTTTAACGCAACATTTCCCATTAAGCCCTTTCCCTTTTCTTTTCACGTGATAGACTATCATACTGATCTGATTCCTATCTGACATGATTTACAAAAAAAAAGTAAGAAAGACCACATTTACTGCCTAAAATTTCAATCACACATCTCTGGTTAGTACAGACTACTGTCAATAAGCTGGTACAGTCAACTGTGAAAATTATTAGTGAAGGTTACAAAATAAATTCTCATTCTGGGACCCCAATTCTTAGTCTTACAACCATGTAATTTCATGACCCTAAACAATTGTAGCCTGTCCACAGAAAAGACTATTGAAATTTGGGAGCCAATCCAGAAAGGAGACTAAAACTCCATTTTGCACCTTTCCTAAAACTTTGTAGGCTCATGAACTGTTGTAGCCAAGTGCCAAGAAACAGCATCAAGGGAGCTAGTTATCACAAAAGGGCCTTTGTAAACTGTCAGCTATAAATTAAACCAATCAACCCACCCTAAACTACCACTGAAGAAACTATAGCTATCCTTACTCTTTTGCTACAAAGAATTTCTTCCTGTTCCTCACCAGTAACTCGCTTTTGCATCTTTAAAGTCACTTATTTAGCTCTTCTAGGAAAAGGAGAAAATTTTACTAGCAAAGGTGAATAAAGCCCAAATAATGCCACAAAATTGTGTTAATATTATGTTTAAAGCATGCTGCTCATTAACATTTGTGAGAACTGTCCAAATCATACCAATCAAAAGAGTATTACTTCAAAAGTCCACTGAAGGTTAATGAATTAAACGCCATCTACAAATTTAGGATAATTGTCAAATAGGTCCAAGGAGAGAATTTGACCCTCTCAAATGCCAGATAATGTATAAAGCCACTGCCTTGTTATGTAAGAACAACATGTAACAAATAAGGTTTCTCCTACAAGTCAAGAGAAGAGA